AAGGAAAGATGAAAGGAATGCCCTTGGTTCTCCTGGGTCCGTCTCCCGGCCCCCCCCCCCCCGCCCCATAATCCTTTGCCTTCTGCCTCTGGCTACCCCACTCACCTCTGGTCGTCCAGAGCGGCATTAGCATGGTAGTATCCGGCCACCACCAGACCGGCCTGTGCTCCCCACACATCCACCTGCCATGGGAAACGGGCCATCATTAACTAAATCGTGCTGCTGGCCTGTGGGTGGGCACTGTCGCCAAGGGGCCAGGGATGGACTTGGGCTAGGGATGTTAAGGGGGTTCGCGGTTGGGGGTGGGCGTCCGGCGGCCCCACCTGGTTGAGGGCGACCTCCAGCATAACGGACAGGGCTAGGTGGCTGTGGAAGAGCGGCACACAGTCGGTAAAGCACAGGCATTCTCCAGACCGCGGCGCTGGCGCCAGCAATAGCCCGTTGACCGCGGCATGTGGGTATCGGGCAGCGTGCAGGCACATTTTCACGTAGGCCCGCGCCGAGATCTCCACCTCCCCCATGGCGAGCAGGGCCTGCCCGGGACGCAGGAAGCCCGATTACTGCCAGTTCCCCACTCTGCCCTGGCGAGCCGGTCCCCCGTTAGCGTCCATGAAGCTCTCTTCAGCGTCCTGGTGCCCTCCCGTGTCCCCTCACTTAAATTCAGCAGGAACGATAACTCGGATCACTGGAAGCCCTCCAGCTCCGGGAGACCTCGGCCCCGGAGTCCATCCCAAGCCCGGCCCAGAAGGAGGTCACGATTACATCCCGCGGCACCTAGCTCCGCCTTCCCTCGCGGGCGGCTGCAGATCCGCTCCTGCCGTGTGGGTTCAGAGCCGGATGCTCAGAGCCTGACCCGCTCCTGGAGTCCCGCCCCTGTGATGCTCTTTGATAGGTGCAGAGGTTCTCATTTTGTCCAATCAGCAGCTGCGTTCAAACTTCGCCCGCCTTTGTCTCCAGCGAATTGGAAAGAACCCAAAAGTGTAAAGGAAAGAAAATTGCTCTCACGCTTATTGGCTAAGCTACGGACTTTCACTCTTTTTTTTTTTTTTTTTTAAAGATGACCGGTAAGGGGATCTTAACCCTTGACTTGGTGTTGTCAGCACCAGGCTCAACCAGTGAGCCAACCGGCCATCCCTATATGGGATCCGAACCCGCGGCCTTGGTGTTATCAGCACCGCACTCTCCCGAGTGAGCCACGGGCCGGCCCCCGGACTTTCACTCTTGATTGCACGGTGGCTTTGCCTGTTACCCGCCCAGCAGAGCCAGCGGGGTGGAGCGCTCGCCCGCAGTCGGGTGTCCCAGAGCGATGGATCTCTGAACGAGGGGACGAAGTGGACTGCCTTGCTCCTGTTATGGAATGAGTGGACCTGTACTCTAGACCGTCCCTGTCACTTATTAATGAGCCAAGTTACCTTCGCGACTACAGGTTATCCGGCCTTTGGTTTCCTTAATGCAAAATATGCTGCCTATGGTCCTTTAAGGATTAAGTGAGATATGTATTGGACGGGCTTCCAAACTGTCAAGTACTCGGCAACACATTCCTTTAAGACAGGATAAGTCAGGGCAGAGTGGGGAACTGTCACTAATCGGGCTTGCTGCGTCCTGGGCAGGCCCCGCTCGCCATGGGGAGGTGGAGATCTCGGCGCGGGCCTACGTGAAAATGTGCCTGCACGCTGCCCTGATTTAAAGGACAATCCCATGGAATTTATAGCAAAGACCACAGCAGAGGAACCCTTGTCTCTATCACTCGGCCAGGTCTGAATCCTGGAAGGCAGAAATTAAGACCACAATTGGCTGAAGGGGGGTAGGGAACAGAAAAAAAATAAAACCTTACAGATCCATCTTCCCGTAATGTCCTGTGGTGTATTTTCTTCACCACAATGCCTTGGGAGCATTTTTCCCCCTCCCAGACCTTGAGAAGGAGTGTAACCTTTCACCCATAATCCTCCCAGTGAAACTTCATTCTCCCTCTGGGCTTGTTCTGAGCTGATGAGGATTGTTTCTTTCTTCATTCCACGATTTCGGCCACAGAGCTTTCCCCTTGTCTATCCAAAGCCTGATTATTCCTGTAAGGGCTCTGCTCAAATGCCACCTCTTCCACGAAGCACTCATGAAACCTCCAGATGGAAATAATCTTGTGAAATCCCAAAATACAGTTTATCTGCATGGCTGTCATAGCATGTAACAATTCCCACCCTGTTCTTTAGGTCTAATTCATCTTTATCTTCCTGGCACCCCCTACTCTTCCCGCCACATTCACCTTCAGTGTCTGGACATAGGTGGCAATTAATAAGTGCTTTTTGGGTTTTTTTTTTTTTTTTTTTTTTTCGTTTTCGTGACCGGTAAGGGGATCGCAACCCTTGGTGTGGTGTTGCCCGCACCGCGCTCAGCCAGTGAGCGCACCGGCCATTCCTATATAGGATCTGAACCCGCGGCGGGAGCGTCGCTGGGCTCCCAGCGCTGCACTCTTCCCGAGTGCGCCACAGGGTCGGCCCTAATAAGTGCTTTTTGAATGAATGACACCAGAGGTGATCCACACAAAATATAGGTCATTTATTTTCCTTCTAGCCCTGGGTTCAGTACATAGATGGCTTCTCTTCACCCTTTGGGTTGACAATTTTCTCTAGGTTGCTGATGATGATATGATAAAGCTCAGCCTGGGAAAAGACCAGAAGAGCAGAAGTCAGATTCTTGGCCTCCTCCCTGCCTCCCTCACCCACCTCCCTTAGGGGCTTACTCCACACTCACATAGAAGGCCCTCAGATCCAGCACCATGGCCCGGAGCTCCCCATAGGCTGCCTCATCTCGCTCATGCACCAGGGCCCGGTAATCCATCTGGGATGTGGGAGGCAAAGCTGAGTCAGCCCCATGAGAGGTTGGGACATTAGTCTGGTTTCGTCATACAGGGAATAGGTAACTTGAGGATAAGCACCTTCTCAGCACAAAGAAATGGGATCCCAAAGGATCAAGCAGAGAAAAGGGTAAAGATTGTTGAAGCCCAAATCAGTTTTGCCAGACAATGTTTTTGGCTTAATATTCACCCCACTCAGAAGGTCATAAATAAGACAAGGGGGACCTCTTTCCCCCTGCCCCCAGTCCCACCTCCAGCCAACCTCAGCTATGACTAGTGGACTATCCACTCACTACATGGGTCTCCTTGGAGGCCTTGGCCACAGCATCCCCACGTTCCAAGAAGTACCTGCCAGAGGCAAGGAGAATACCATAGGAATAGGGATTCAGGGAAACATACTCTCTCAGACCCTTCCCAAAGTCTCCATTGTCCTCATGGGACTGTCCAGCTTTGGGAGTCCCAAAGTAATGTCCCTGCAGCCCCCCACTCTGGTCCTCCAGCTGCCCTCACTTGGAAATCGTTGTCTGGAAGGCTTCCACTTTTGTCTTCACCGCATTCACTCTCTCCAACACCTTCTCCTGTGGTGACATGGGAGGCAAAGAAAACACTTCATCTCCTCCCTCCTTCACTCACTATTTAGTTCCTCTTAGTTTATGTCTAGCTCCTATTTCTCACACCCCAAGTCTCTCCCCACTCTCAGTGTCCTCAGTCACCCTTTTCTTACCTGGATTGCCACCCCAAAATCATTTCCATCCTCAATCTTAGGGATCAGGTGCTGGATCCATGTGATCACCTATGTTTAGAGGTATCATGTAAGGATCACTGAACAGACCCACTGGATTCTTCCAATTACTGCTACTTCCTAACTGAGCACTTATTATGTTCCAGGTACTGTGCTCTGTATTATTTATCTCATTTAATCATCACAGCAACCTTTCAAGGTATATATTCTTATTGTACCCATTTAACAGATGAAAAAACTGAGTCACAGAATGTCTAAGTGACTTACTTAAGGTTACCAGATAGGTTAGTGATAGAATCAGAATTCGAACCCAAGCAGTCTCTCTCTAGGGCCCAAGCTTTTAAGCCAACTCACTATATCATATCATCTCTACTGTGTACATGATATAGCAGGTTCTGACGTTACAGAGATGGATACAGCACAGTCTCTGACTTTGGGGTAACCATTGTGATACCAAAGGTCTAACAGAATGAGAAGTACAAAGGGAATGTAAACCCAAAGCACAGAAGGAAGTTTCCTTTTTCAGACTAGGTCTCTGAATAAAAGAATTGAACCTCTGAAGGAGACCGGGACCTGGCCATGTTTGTCTTCTTTCTACTTCCCCTAGGCTTACCAGAATACATTTCTCTTTCAGAGTCCAGACTTCTGGCTTAACCAGGGCAAGCAGGGCCAGGACCTTCTCGTTCCCAGGGAGAAAGCCGCACTTAGGGACTATGAGAAAGAAGGGATTCAGGCCCTTTCTCATCCAACAGTCAATGTGTCATTTCCTTCCCTAGTCACCCCTTCTTCCCTTACCTTCTTTCTTCTCCTGCTTATCTGTTTCCATCTAAAACAAAAAGGGGGAAAGTAGCTTTAGAAAAGTGATGGAGGTTGAAAGGCCATCATCTCTACTGGGTTTATAGTCCGAGCCCTGCACCCTGAATGCCTTACCTCATCATCCTTGGGTGGGGGGTCTGGGATTGGGATGTCCAGTGGGGACCGTAAGGAGTTCAGGTCAGCTACATTGAGGGAGTCCTCCTGCACAGAGCTCACTGTCAAGGGCTGCCCAGCTTCTTCCCTTCACCCTGAGTCACAGCCCTCCCTCCACACATCACACCTGACCTCTGCCTCCCAATCTGGGCTCAGGCTTCACACCATCCTAACATTCCCAATCTACCATTCACAACTGTTCTGTGTGCTGTGCCCAGATGTTACCTACAGAGGGTGGGCAGAGGAGGGTGAAGCCATGGGATGGGGCAGGGGGGGCTCACATTACTCACTTGCAAGAGCTGATTCAGATATATGATTTTCTGTGGCAAGAATCTGTAGAGGAATTCCTCAGCCTGTGGGTTACATTGCAAGGGTGGAGAATCACAGAAGATACTCAAGAAGATGTCTGAGAAGTGGGATCGAAATCACCCTTGGAAATCATTGAGTCCAAAATTTACTAATGTGAAAACTGAAGCCCTGAAAATGAAGGGACCTGCCCAAGCTGGTAAGTGGCAGAACCAAGATTAGGACTGTGGTATTCCTGCTTTGGGGGCCACAGTTTTTCCCTCCACATCAAAAAAGGGGCGGGGAAGTGGCAGAAGGGGGTACAGTCCTAAGAGGGGTCGGGTTAAAGGTAGAAATCAATAATTAGGAGCTCACCTTAGGTGAAGGCTTGGTAAGGGAAGTAGGAACCTAGTCTAGGGTGGGTTTGGGGGTCACTCTAGAGGTTGTGACCCTCAAGTATTGGTCTAAGATTCTGGGTCAAATCACTTGAATCCAGAGAGACTTACCTCCTGAAAAAGATTTTGCCTGAAGACATCCACCTGCACAGAGAGCGGTACCCGGATGTTGGTTAAGTGTCTCAGTTGTCAAGAGTAAGATCTCACCCCCAAAGGGGTGCCCTCCAACTGTGGCTCAGGCCTTTGCCACCACAAGCTAGTTTTCCCTGGAAGCTTCAGTTCAGTGCAGAGACTGGCCAGAGGGCAGGAATCTGGGAAACCCCAGACAGAAGTGAAAGCACTAAAGAGATTGGGGAAGTTCTCTGGCACAGCCTCGGTCCTCTGGAGCACCCAGTTTAGCTTCCATCCAGGGGGGCTCCCCGGCCCTTTCCTGGCCTCCGATTCCTCCTTTACCTGTTTGCGGGCCTCCCCGCTCAGGCGCACCCCACAAGGTTTGGCCATGCTGCTCCAGTTGCTAGATCTCTGATCTCCCGGCTAGTCGCCCGGGCTTTCGCTTTCACTCCCCAGGTCCGGGCCCGCCCCCCTCAACCCCGCCTCCTTTCTTCTTTTCCCCTCCCACTGGCAGGCTGCAAACAGTAGGTATCGTCTCATCCATTCCCAGCCAGTTTACACTAGGAGAGGCGGTGCCGGCTGGGTCACAAGCCCAGGGGCTGTCCGAGGGAGGGGCTAAGGCGAGTGGGACAGGGGAGATAGGAACGGGGGCTGTCCCTCAGAGAGGAGCCGGGGCTTACAGCGAGGGCCAAGGGCAGTCCAGGGGAAGTCCGGGGTTGGGGTGAGAAGGGTGGGAGAATGGGAAAGGGGGTATCCAGTGGGGGCTCCCCCAAGAAGGCTCAACCGCGAGGAGGGGACGGAGAGGGATCAGAGCTGGTGGGAGGGGTAGTGAGCGGGAGGGCCCTGGGGCGCAGAAGGGCTAGCAGGATGTGGAAGGGAGCAGGCAGGGGGCTTCCCCCGGGAGGGCGCCCTGCCTTCAGGACAGACCGGGGAGGGGGCGGGACTCGCTTGAGCGGGGCTAGGCCGGCCAGAGTCGGACCGACCCCGGCAGGGTGGGACTTCCCCGGTGAACACCGGAGCATAGTACACTGGTCCAGATAAAGAGAGGAAAGCTTTGAGCGAAATAGGTTCACCCCGCGCCCGGGGCTGCCCGGAAGGGGCGGAACCAGACTAGAGGAAGGCGAGGAGCAGCTCTTGAATGAGGGGGCAGCCAGGGACCATTTTCCTCATTGGTGGGCACCCGGCCCCCTCTTGGCCGCGCCCCCTGGCTTCCTGACACCTCCTCCCGTCCTTAGCCCTAAGCCCCTCCCTTTCCTCTGAAACCAGGTCGCAGTCCCGCCCCCTTTCCTAGTACTTCCTGTTGCCGGCTAACCCTGGCGCTGTGCCAGGGGCCGGAGAGTCACCGTGGCCTGAGTGGCCCGGGCGGCCGCGCGGGCCGGGTGAGGCCGCAAAGTGGGACCGCGGGCGGGAGAGGCGGTGCTCGGGCCGCGCGCAGCTGGCGCCGGGTCCTGGCGGGCGGCGAGGCAGGGGCTGACTCCTGTCTCAGGATGCTGGGGGAAGAGGAGGAGGAGTGGGCCTTCCTGGCGGCCCGCGAGGAACTGGCGAGCGCCCTGAAGAGGGATTCCGGGCAGGCGTTTTCCCTGGAGCAGCTCCGGCCGCTACTGGCCTCCTCTCTGCCGCCAGCCGCCCGCTACCTGCAACTGGACGCCGCACGCCTGGTCCGCCGCAACGCTCACGGGGAGGTGAGGCCCGGCCCCGCTCGGAAGGGGGACACAGGGTCTGAGGCCGGGCTCACAACTCTCTGCTCTCTACTGCTCCCAGCCCAGAGACTACCTCAGCACCCTGTCCACGGCCCTGAACATCCTGGAGAAATATGGCCGCAACCTCCTCAGCCCTCAGCGGCCCCGGTACTGGCGCGGGGTCAAGTTTAATAATCCTGTCTTTCGCAGCACGGTGGATGCTGTGCAGGTGAAACCCCGGCCCTTAGGGGAGAAGGGGCCTGGGCCTGGACTGGGGGTTGGCTAGAAAGGGCCTGAGGCTGTGCTGGATGGGAAGGAGTACAGCCCTATCGGGAAGGGGACCTGCCGGGCGGTGACTGGTTGTGAATGTGTGGCAGGGGGGCCGGGATGTACTGCGATTGTATGGCTACACAGAGGAGCAGCCAGACGGGTTAAGCTTCCCTGAAGGGCAGGAGGAGCCAGATGAGCACCAGGTTGCTACAGTCACACTGGAAGTACTGCTGCTTCGGACAGAGCTCAACCTGCTTTTGGAGGTGAGAAGTTCTTTCAGTACTGGTGACTTAAGCACCGGGACTGAGGGTCCAGCCTAATTCAAGCCAGTCTGAGGACCCCATGCTGCTGAACTTGGCCATAGCTTCTGCAGCAGTCTGGGAGTTCTTGGTACTGTTCTTCCTGTGAATGTTGGAGGACCTTGTTCTAGGGCTCAGGTGGAAACCTTTTTGTCTGGTTTGCAGAATACTCATCCAAGACAGCAGGCACTGGAGCAGCTGCTGAAAGAAAAGGTTGAAGATGATGTAAGCAAGGCAGGAAGGGGGCTGGTGAACAAAGGGGACAGGAATTGTGGGACTCTGTGTTCCCAAACCTTTACCCATTCTCTGTCCTTTCTTCCTCAGATGCTGCAGCTTTCAGAGTTTGACCCTGTATTGAGAGAGATCGCCCCTGGCCCCCTCACCACACCCTCTGCCCCAGGTATTATTGGTCCTATATTGGGGATGGAGGAGGACGGGTAGTAGACTACATTAGTGGAAATTTGGGGCCATTCTGGACTCTCCTATGTCTATCTTGTTTTCCTTTTTAACAGAGATTAGAATGGTTTCCTTGGGTCCAGATGTGTTGAAAAGTAGTCTCATGATTTGTCCCGTCCATAGCAGATTCAAATGCAACATGGTCTTTTTTAGAAAGATGTTCTGTTCTTTCTGTTCTGTTCTCCAGGCACCACTGCCGGTCCCTGCTTCCTCTGTGGTTCCGCCCCAGGTATACTGCACTGCCCAACCTGTAAATATGCCTTGTGCCCAGCCTGTGATGGATTGTTCCATGGACACCCATCCCGTGCTCATCACCTCCGCCAGACCCTGCCTGGAGCCCTCCAGGCCACCCACCTGAGCCCCAGGTGAGAGGTCTTCTTTTCTGGGTGGGAGAGAAATTTAGAGAATTTAAGATCACTTAAGTATCTACTGTGTGCCAGGTTATGTGTTAAATACTGTTTGATAGAGGACATGAAGCCAATCAAAGCCCTCAAGGATATTATAGATATACATATCACGTACATAGCAGTCACAATAACACAGGTTATTATGGTGTGCAAACAGGTAGATGGATGCAACCTAGTCTGAAGGATCAGCTCAATCAGTTGGTAGTATTTTAAACACCAAGAATGCATCAGGCCCTATGTTCGGGGTGTATACAAGGATGAAGTAAGCTTTAAGCTGTTATTTTAAATGTTGAACAGGCAATGGCTATGGGAGTGTTCCAGACAGAGAGAACAACATGTTCAAAGGCCAGAACCATGTGTTATTACCCAGGAAATGGGGGGTGTCTAGGGGTGAGAGACCCAGGCACTAGATCCCTATCTTAGCAGGCCGTGTCTGCTTTTCCATTACAGTTTACTTGCCTCATCCCAACCACGGCCCCAGCCCCAGTTGACCTCCTTCCTGGCCCTGGGAAACAGCTCTCTTTCTTCCCCTGATCCTGCAAGTGCCCGTGAGCACTGGCACTGTGCTGCCTGTGCCTTGCTTAATGAGCCTTGGGCAATGCTCTGTGTGGCCTGTGATTGGCCACGGGGCTGTAAGGGGTTAGGGCTGGGGATCAAGGGTCCCCAAGGAACTGGGGACCTAGAACCTGAGCTTGCACGGGATCAGTGGGCTTGCCAGAGCTGTACCTTTGAGAACGAGGCAGCAGCTGTGCTATGTGCTATATGTGAGCGACCTCGGCTGGCCCAGCCTCCCAGTTTGGTGGTGGATTCCCGGGATGCTGGCATCTGCCTGCAGCCCCTTCAGGTAACCTGTTACTTGCCTTCCCAGCTCTTTATTTGTACCTGTTACCTCAGGCCATTCTCTACTTCCCCATCCTGTTTTCTTTCAGTTTCCCCAGCTCCCTGTATTTCCATTGTGAACCTCAGCCAGCCACTCAAGGGGATAATTCTCTCTGCCTTCCCAGCAGGGGGATGGTTTGCTCTCCTCTGCCCAAACTCAAGTCTGGTACTGTATTCACTGTACCTTCTGCAACTCGGGCCCTGGCTGGGTGTGTGCTATGTGTAACCGAACCAGCAGCTCCATCCCAGTACGGTATGCCTCCCGGCCCCATGCCAGCTCTTTGGAAAAGGGCCTTCCCAAGCCTGGGCCTCCACGCCACCCAAGTGCCCCCCTGCCCAGTTCCTGTGGAGACCCTGAGGAGCAGCGCCAAGACAAGATGCGGGAGGAAGGTCTCCAGCTAGTGATCATGATCCGGGTGAGGATTGGGACTGGGATAAAGTTAGGCTGAGCTGGTGGGGTAAAGGAGATGCAGCAGTTGGTTAATAGGAATTCTTTTTTTTTTTTTTTTTTTTTAAAAAGATGACCGGTGAGAGGATCTTAACCCTTGACTTTGTGTTGTCGGCACCATGCTCAACCAGTGAGCTAACTGGCTATCCCTATATGGGATCCGAACCCGTGGCCTTGTTATCAGCACCACACTCTCCCAAGTGAGCCACGGGCCGGCCCTGATTAATAGGAGTTCTTATAAACCTTGTCATTATTACTAGCAACTCTCTCTTTTTTTTTTTTTTTAAAAGATGACCGGTAAGGGGATCTTAACCCTTGACTTGGTGTTGTCAGCACCATGCTCACCCAGTGAGCAAACCGGCCATCCCTATATGGGATCTGAACCTGTGGCCTTGGTGTTATCAGCACCGCACTCTCCCGAGTGAGCCACAGGCCGGCCCAAGCAACTCTCTCTTATTGAACACTTTTCACATGGCAGTTACCATGCCATGCACTGGTCACATGATCCATACTTCTGAGCTCAGCTACTGTCAACATCTTGGTTTAGGGTGAGGATGGGTGAGGGGTATCTCTCCTGATGGGCCCTCTGTCTGGGTGGGACTGTGCCTTAGGAAGGAGAAGCTGCAGGTGCCTGTCCAGAGGAGGTCTTCTCAGCTCTGCAGTACTCAGGCACCGAGGTGCCTCTGCAGTGGTTGCGCTCAGAGCTGCCCTATGTGCTGGAGATGGTGGCTGAGATGGCTGGACAGCAGGACCCGGGGCTGGGTGCCTTTTCCTGTCAGGAGGCCCGGAAAGCCTGGCTGGATCGTCATGGCAACCTCGATGAAGCAGTGGAAGAGTGTGTGAGGGCCCGGCGGAGGAAGGTACCAGCTGTGCTGGAGGTGGGACAGGGTTGAGGATCTCTCACATTCTCCCTTGCTTGCTTTTTCCTCTTCACCTCCTATCTTTGCTCCAAACTTGCAGGTGCAGGAGCTCCGGTCCCTGGGCTTTGGGCCTGAGGAGGGGTCTCTGCAGGCATTATTCCAGCATGGGGGTGATGTGGCACGGGCCCTGACTGAGCTACAGCGCCAGCGCCTAGAGCCTTTCCACCAGCGCCTCTGGGACAGTGGCCCCGAGCCCACCCCATCCTGGGATGGGCCAGACAAGCAGGTGCTGGGAGGAGGCAAGAGGCCGAAGGGTCCACCTAAAGGGGCAATAAGGAAGGCTGAGGGGCAGGATTCCTGGGATCTGACAGCCACTTCTCCCCCTCCACGTGAATCACATTCAGAGCCTGGTCAGACGGCTTTTGGCAGTCTACGCACTCCCTAGCTGGGGCCGGGCAGAGCTGGCACTGTCACTGCTGCAGGAGACACCTAGGAATTATGAGTTGGGGGACGTGGTAGAAGCTGTGAGGCACAGCCA